AATGAAACCGAGCACTTGCAATTTGCTGAAATTCTTTAATCTGAGGTTTTGCTGCATAAAATAATTTTCCTGTTTTTCTGTGAAATTAAACACTCCTAACATTTGAATGAGAAAAAAAAATATTTTTCAGCATCAAAACCCAGAAGCACTGTTTTCCCCTTCTTGGCTCTAGTCACTGGCATGGTAAAATCAAAATGGACAGGGTGTTCCTGGGGCTCTCTCAGTGCTGGTGTTCTGATTTCGTGTGTCCTCTCCAGCTGAAATATGCAGGGTTTGGTGCAATGCTGCAGTGATAGTCCAGCGATCTCATTCCAGTGGCGTGAACAAGCAGACCTTAGAGCACATACTAAGGTTGTGACTCTACAGTTGTCATTTTTTCCTTGCTGATTTTCATTCAGTACAAAGATCAAAATCCCCTTGTGTTACATGCTTGCATATGCTTATGGTCCCTGAGCTGCTTGCCATCTAAACAAACAAAATGATTACCCTGCAGGAGAAATGTTATTACTTTTATTGTTATTCGTTTAAAACAATGGAAAATCGGTCACAAAGAAAACAAAATGTTTTTTTCCAATGACTGCACAGTGAGATTGTGACAGGGCCAGGAACTGAGTCCAGGTGTCCTGAGTCCCAGCCCAGACCTTTAAACACCAAAATATCCTGCTCCTTGTGAATTCAGAGTGTTTTGGCAAAAGTTTCCCCAGAGTGTTTCATAATTAATGTCAGCGCTACTCTCTGAATATGTCTTACCAGTTAGGAATTTGCTTTTGTATACATGCATCCACTTAAAAACTCCCCAAAACTTAGCAGCTGTTGGCTTCCTTGTGTTACTTGAATGTTTCTAAGGCAAATATGGGACATGATAAATTGAAAAGTGTTGAGTGGGAATGTTCTGCTTTGAGTCCACTTAGCAAAATCCAAAGGTCATCTCTGCTGTGAAGAGCCAGCAGGATTAGACACAGTATGAGCCTTGTTTCAAGGGTAGGAAAGGGATTTTCTGTTGTGTCTAGAAATCAGACTCTTCCTATGTCACAGGGGTGGATTTTATCCGGGAAGAACTAAGCCCATGCGAGGATCTGTGACAGTTTTTGACAGCTTTCTGAAAATGAGCTAGAACCAAAGGAAAAAAGAACATCCCACAAGAGACTATTGCAGCTTGCGTCTCGAGGGACCAGTTCCCTTGCTGATACGCATTTGGTCCCTTTTAAGTCTGCACAGACAGGACGCTCTCCGTGAATGGAAATCTGCGGTGAGGTGTGGAAGAATGCAGTTGTCTTCAGCAGCTCAAATAGTGGCTTAATAGCAGTCCCCCGGATCAGGTCAGCAGCTCACGTGTCTGTCTCCAACAAACTTGCCCCAGCGTGATGCCTGTAATTACTGGCTGCAGCGGCAGTCCCACCTATATGCCACATGACCTGAAAATTCCCATCGTGAGATGCTCTGGTCAGTCCTTTATCCTGTAACAGATGCTGCCCAGCTGCGATGAGCTTTTCCAGGATGGGATTATGTTGAGATGAACTTTTTCAGGATGGGATGTACGTTTCTAAATGGGAATGTCTCTTCTTTAAAAGAAATTGTTTCTACACTGAAGGGGTTTGGGGTTTTTTTGTGCTGTCCTGGATAAAAGATTCGTACGGTCTTTTTGCTCACCATTGGGAGGCCAAGGGGTTATGCTGGAGAGTGGTGTCCTTAGGAAAACTCCAAGCAAGGACTGGAATAGAGCTTGTTTTTGCACTAAAAGCTGGCTGCATATGTTGTCAGCACAGAGCTAATCCTGAAACATTTCTGAAGTTTACACAAGGCAAATTTTTTTTGTGTTTCTGTGGGCATTGCAGCACAGCGGTGCTTTGGTGTTCAAAGGGCAGATCTGGGGAGCGGACTGAGATGCCGTCTGACCGGAGCTTTCATCTTCCTTTCGGAGGTATTCACGCGTGCTGCTTTGGCCAGCTCTGGCGTGGCCTTTCTGGGAGCCAGACAAGCAATTTTGGGCATGCTGGAGCAGCGGAGCAGCGGGCGCGGTTTAGGAGAGCGCCCGCCTGGCGTGGGTCTGGCCCCGCAGCGATGGCCGGGCTCTTCCTCAAAGAGGTCTTAAAGCATCTGGGCACCTGCTTTCAAAATGTCGTCATGCCCCAGCGAGCAACGTGAGAGTGTGTCTGGAAGGCTCGTCTGATATAAAAGTGCCAGTTTCACAAATCCCTTGGTAGATTTGGGTGTCTGCTCCCATTCAGTGTCTGTCTATCAGAATCACCCAGGCATCCCTGACAAGCTCAGCCAGTGATTTCCAACAGCTGTGGTGTCTCCAGTTGCCACCAGTTTGACTCACCGTAGCCCCCCTGTTTGCTCTGCAGACTGTGTTTGTGCTCATCCTCATCTGAACAGCCCCGATGAAAGTGCTGGGCGCTTCTCTGGGGGATTTGCTGCGTGCCAGGAGACTCGGTGCATGTCCTGCTGTGCTCCGCATCTTCTCTACTTCCATGGCCTTTAACCTGGGCTCCCAGTCACCATCATCTGTCTGTCTGTCTGTCTGTCTATCTATCTATCTCTCTATCTACTTTTTTTAAGGCAAAAATTGTTTTCAGCAGCTTGCTGCACTTTGTAATTCCACCTTGTTTTGAGGAAGAGCCAAAGGAAACCTGTTACAGTGGTTTTTTAATATTTGCCACTTGGAAGGCGTGTTTGAGAGTGGACACGCAAAGGGCACTGGCTGCTTCTTTTGCAGCCAAAACACGCTCCCTCCAGACCGTTAGAGAAGGTTACGTTGCAAAAATAATGCGTGTCTTCACCTTTTATTTTCCTAAGTCTTGCCAAGCTTTACGTGCAGTAGGAAAAGAGACATCATTCTGCCAATTAAACTGGAGTATTTTATTAATGCTGGCAGACAGCTCCGCTTTCCAAGTAGGAACAGATTTGCCAAGTGATTTGGTGTGGGCTCAGTTCTTCCAGGGGGACTCACCTTGTCCT